CTGCAGAATTCTTAGAAGAAAAGGTAGGCACAAGCTTACAATTTTGGACTAGGCAATAACTTCTAGACATGACACTAAAAGCAAAAGTAATGGAAGAAAAACTAGGCTTCATCAAAATTTAAAATTTCTGCGCTTCGAATGACAACAGGAAGGTGGAATGATGGTTTACCAGTAGGAGAAAATGTTTGCAGTACTATAAAGAAATTATCTAGGACACAATGTAACTCAATTGCCAGCAAATGCATGAAAATATGATTAAGTTTTGTAACTAGGGGAATGCAAATCAAACACAGTTAGATACAACTTCACCCTTGTACACTGGAAGGAATGCAAACTAGTGTAGTTATATGGAAGAAAGTCTGGCAGTTCCCTGAGAGTTCAATTGGAGCTTAGTGCATGACCCAGCAATTTCTTTTAGATATATCTAAGAAAAATGAAGACACATGTAACATAGTAACTGCATTTAGAGGTTGGCAGCAGGATTATTCATAATGGCCAAAGCTTAGAAACAACTCACATGTTCATAAACAAAATATACCATATACTTAAAATGTCATATTGTTCTACCATAAAATGAATGAAGTGCTGTCACAGGTAGAAATCTTAAAAATGTTATGCTGAGAAAAAAAATGCCAGTCACAAAATACTACAGATTATACAAATGGGCAAAACCACACAAAGTTGTTGAGGGCAGATGGGGCAACACAGAGAGGGCAATGACTAAAAGTCCAGGGTTTCTTTTTGGAGCAATAAGAAAGTACAATCAATTTTAGCAAATGAAGTGTAAAAACTATTGAAAATGCACTTTAAATCAGTGAATTTTATAAAGCACAAATTATATGTTAAGCTGTTACAAAAATACTTAAAATGATATTATTAGTGTTTTAAAAAATAATTTTCAAGAAATGTCAAGGAACACAAAACCCTTCTTTATTCATTAGAAGACCTATAAATTATCCACTTAAAAATCCTGAAAGGAGGAAAAATGCGTCCTAGATAGCTGGTTCTAAAAGACACTGAAAACAGTAAGGTAGCAGGCTGGAGTGCCCAGACATCTCAGAGTCTCAATACTGGCAGCAATTTGGGGTTCTGAGGGCCTGCACTCACTAGGCTGGGCCTTAAGAGGTTGGTGACCTAAAGCAACAGACAGACACAGCCAAGGAAATAAAAGGAGGCATTGTCTCACATAGGAACAGGGCATCAAGGAAATAAAAGGAGGCATTCTCTCACATAGGAACAGGGCATCAAGGAAGTAAAAGGAAGCATTCTCTCACATAGGAACAGGGCATGGAAGCACACCAGAGATCCACGCAGGGTCTCCTCACAGCTTCTCAACTGAGTCTACCCAGTTCTGTGCAACTGGGTATCTGAGGGAAGCTCAACGTAGCTACAGTGGCTTAGAGACTGGCGAATCTGTTCAAGCCCTGCTCCATGAAGTAGAGTCACATAAAGGTAGGTCCATCTACCAGCTGGGCCTAGTGACATAAGGAGACTCAGCACATAGTCAAGGATACACACAAATTTGAACCGATAAGAATTTCTCATCTGAAACTATGGAACCATCAACCAGGAATCTTATACTAAAACAAACAAACAAATCCTATACTTCAGGACTAAAGGCAATATAAAAATGCTCTCAACAATTGAAAACTATTAAACAAAGTAGTTGCTGGAAGACTTATTCATTGATAATGCAAAGAAGTTCTTGAACCAATAAATAACACCGGAAGCAAATAATGAGAAGGTAGATAGTGAGATAAGCACAGTGCACTGTTTTTCACTTTAATGAATTCTTTAATCAGATCTGCAGCTGAATAGAAAAAAACAGTTGGACTTGTTCAGTGACAAGAAGGAAAATAGTTAAATATTCACATACCCAACAACGTGTCCTTTACAAGGCAATATGGAGTACAACTCAGATATAGAAGGAGTAAACCACAGACACATTTAACAACTGGTGGTCTTACACAAGTGTTGTGTGATACTTTGGTTGTGTTCTGACAAATAAAGTTTGCTTGGAGTCAGAGGGCAGAGCTAGTTACTAGCTGACCAAAATTAACCACAGAGGTTTGGAGGACTGAGTACAGATAGGAGGCAGGAAGTACTAAGGCCGTGCTGAGAGCGGATCTTGGCCCTTTTGGAGGAAGGAACTGAAGAGGTACGAAGTCACTGGTGGCTGCTCCCCTGCTTCTCTGATCTTTCAGGTTCTTACCCCAATATCTGACACCTAATTTTTTAATTGATAAAGAATAGTTAAGGCTTCACAGAAGTGTTAAGCTATGCATTTAGTAAGAAAATACACTCTTCAAAATGCTAGCTATATTCAATTACTTAATATTCTTGAAGTGAAAGAAATTATAAATCACAAAAGAGAACATATGGGTGGTTTCTGGGGGCCAGTTCCGTGGCAAAAGAAGCAAGCATGCTCCTAAGACGGACAGACGTCTTGGTGGTGACGCGGTGACTGTGCAGTGACCCTGAACTGCCTGGGATGCAGCAGACGAGGCACGGCAGGTGTGTGTGAGCGCCACAGGCAGAACCAAAGTGTGCACCACTGCTAGCTGTGTTTTCAGACTGTCCAACTGCAACGCACAGGCCGCAGGCACTGCAGGAGGATTAGGGCAGCTTCCCGGCAACTCTGAGTTCCCTGTAATTGCTTGTGGCAGGGTTGAGGAAGGATTCATAGGAATCTTCTCTGTAATTTCCTGTGGCTTTTTATTCCTTTCAAATTAAAGGGTTAATTTTTTTATTCAATTAATAGCTAACATTTTTGATTGCTTCCATTTAAAAGTATTTTGACAATAAAAAATTTAAATAGTTATCAAGAAAACTAAGTCAAAAATAGTAAGAATGAACTAGTAGAAATCGAAGTATGACTGAAAGAAGTCAACAGAAGATTTGGAGCAAAAATGTAAGGAATGCTAAAAAAAACAACATAGAAGAGCAAGAACATACTCTGTGACAAATAATTAAAATTCTAACTTTAATCAAATGTCATTGTTAATGAAAAATTCTACAGAAATGAAAAGTATTTGTGAAATTATAACTGGCCCGCAGGGGAAGAGTGTTTACCTGCACTGGAGTCTGACTCACAGTGCACAGTTTGCTCAGGCTGTGATTTATACTTAATACCAGGTTTTTCTCAGGAGCCAACCTGTGTGTGTGCACATGACTGACACTCTGTGGGAGTCCTGGGCAAGCATACCTGAGCATCCTTCTGTGTGGCACTGCTGCACACTGCTGGGATACTAAGCACATCTCTGGCTCCATGGGCACAGAGGCTCAGCTTCATTTCCTCAAAACTTGTCAAGGCGCCTTTCCCTTTAATGGTCTTATCTGGCATGCTTTCCCTGTGCTCTACCTGTCTGTCTAGTAAGTTTCCAAGTTCGGTGGCCTCCAGTGTGAAGGCCAGAAGTAGACCTGAGACGCCTGATGCACTTTGCTTTGATGGTAGGTTTCTCCTTTTAGGCATCACCTGTATTTCACTACTCTCTATTCGATTTTGCGACATCTGGCAGAGTTTAAAGCACTTGGTCAATCCCAAGAGGCCCTTTACTCATGGATTCCAACACAGCCAGTCACAACCCAGCCACAAAACAAACACTTTAACCATAGAGAGGGCAGCATATTCAGTGCTATTTCTGAACCCTATATCTCATGTACGCAGCCCTAACAATGTTAGCAAGAGAGGCCCTTATTTTCTAGCCAGGCTGCCGATGGAGAGGGCAATCCTAGTTCCCAGCAGTTTCTGTTGGGAATCCTCATCCTGACACCCAGAAACTCTACACAGATACACTCTGCTCATGCTGCAGGAGAGGAGCCCCAGTCTGCACCCCAGACAACTCCTCTTAGCTAAGAAGTGGCTGCATCTAGAAGGCTTGCCATGCATAGCCCTCCAGCAATATTAGAAAATAATTCTGATATAAACAGCTAGCAGTGAACTCTCTCTACAGTTCACTATTACTGTTCTGTGCTCCGAGTAGGAGAGAAAGACCTGTACGTATATCGTGTAATGTAATCCATAGATAGCCTACAGCCTGCCTTACATATGTCAAACATGAAAAAAATTGAGTAATTTTGCTAGCCACGCCTCCTCCTATGCCTCAATCTAAGAAAAGGCTTAATATATTATCACCGAGGTCAAGCATGTGAAATACCGTGTAAATGACAGTCTGAATGTACACATGGTCTGAAAATAGCAGGGTCCTGGCACTGGATAATACACAGTTAGATAGACTCCTCACCTTACACTGAAGTAACCCTGAACACATCAAATGGTACAGGCTGGACACTGGCCTAAGATAAACGCCAATCCTTTCCTTACAGAGGATAATAGGCCAGTGAAATTTCTTATTTCATTTTAACAGAGCTTTTCTTTTCTTTTGAAAAAATTTAACATTCAGTCATTCATTATTTTGTGTGTATGCCTACATGCATGTGTGCATTTTTAAAAATAAGCTTTTGGATTTGTAAGCATATCAACAGCAAGTGCTGATGCCACTTTTATTAAATGCATGCTAACTGCTTGGAAACCCAGGCACACACTCAGGTTCATTTCCTTTCTCCTCAGGCAGTTTCCTCAATCTACACCATTTTCATTTTAACAGTCCTCATTACTGATATCATTTAATAGTTGAGGGTTTGCTCAAGTCAACATCAATCTTGCTGATACTGCAAACACTTTAGAGTGTGTTGACACAACACAGTCTAAATCCATAGCTGGTAAACATAAGAATTTCAAAGCCATTCCTTCCCAGAACATGGCACCCTGTGCTCAGAGCATCTCTCTTCAGTTACACAGTCCTGTCAGGGAGACACAGGAGGAGACATCACGCTCAGGGCCCTCCCTCTTCCACGGTCTCCCACTCCTGCCCCGCATCCATGACATCCGGAATCACCCCAATGAGCAAGAAAAACACATTTCAAATAAAACCTCCCCTTCAGTGAACATGTACATGCCTTTGGATAAATCTAAATTAAGACGTAAAGTATCTCTTTACCTGATTGGAGTATCGCATGCTCACATTACGTTGATTCTGGAGTGGGACAAAGCGCTGGACAGGGTCAATGTCTTTAGGACTGATTAACTCATCAGCTGAAAGAAAAGAAAAGGAAATCAAATGACATTGTAAACAAAGCACAAAATGCCAAATACACAACACTGTGGGCCAAATGAGACAACTACGGGGATTCCACTAACAAAGAGAAGACTACCCACTTTCCCAGAGTGATTAGATGGGTTAGGTCATAGAATAAATGCAAGAGTTTGAAACAGCAGAAAGTATACTCTCACGATGCTATGAATGAGAAGCTAGAGACAAAGACATTACAGAAATTCACAAATATGTTGCAATTCACTAACACCCTCATAAATAACCAATGATCAAATGAAAACTCAAAGGAAAATCAGAAAATACTTTCTATAGAGCACTTTCTAGCATATACATGGTTCTGTTCCCATTATTTCTCACGCCCAAACAGGGAGAGGAAGAAGAGAAGGAGGAAAACTTCCTCCAGTGTGCTTTTGATGAGATGAATGAAGATAAACACATCAAAATTTAGGGGAAGTAAAAAAGGTGCTGCTCATAGGGAAATTATCAACATGTATGTACATATTAAATAGAGTTACAATATAAAATCAATACCCTAACTTCCCCTCTTCAGATGGTGTATGAAGAGAGAAAACTAAATCAAAAGCAGGAGAATGGAAATTGCCAAAGTCAAAATTAATGAAATAGAATGCAGAAAATCAATAGAGAATATCAAATTAAAGCCAGGCACATAAAAAGCTAAAACACATACTGAGAAACAGCTAAAATGACACCCCCCCCAAACAAACAAGAACAAAGAGTGACAGAGAAAAATACTCAAAGACTGAAGTAGGAATGCCAAACAAAATGTATGGTCACAAGCTAGATAACCCAGGTGAAAAGGACAATTCCTGGAATAATACAAACTACGGAAACTAGCTAAAGAGGGCACCAGTGGGAGGAATTGAACAGATTATGAAAAATAAAGTGATTAAGACTTTAAATACACACACATCTTCACATGCATGCTCCTTCCTATACACAACACACACACACGCGCACACACACACTATACACACCACAATATACGCGACCAGCATAAGATGGTTTCATTGTTTATGTTAACCAAATAGTTAAAATCAATCGCTCACAAACTTTTGAACAGATAAAAGGGTAAACTCAGAATTGCCATATTATAAGAAAATTACAACCCCAAGCCCCTAGGAATACACACACATACACACACAAATTCTTAATAAAATGCTAGCAAACCAAATAGCATATAAAAGGAATTATATACCATGATCACATAGGATTTACCAAACAAGTGCTAAGACAGTTTAGCATCAAAACATCAATTAGTAGAATACAGCAATATAAATTATTATTTGTATATGTCATCTCAGAGAAAGTGTTGAAACTCGGGGAGAGACTACATATACAAAAAGTATAAGTAAATTAAAAAGCCATACATAAGAGCTAAACTGTAGACATGTTAGGAGTAAATCTTTGTGACTTATATTCCAAAGTGATAACCTTTTGCATACCAAAAGGCATTATTAATACAGTAAAATGATAGCCCAGTGGATGATAGAAAATAAATATCAAATTATTTCCCTGAAGTGATTTATGTCTATAATTTATAAAGAGCTCTTATAAATCAATAATAAAAGATAAGAACTCAATTTAAAAGTAGCCATATATCTGAATAGAAATTTCTCCAAAGAAATTACCAATGAGTACAGGAAAACTTACTTAACAACATTAATGATTTGGGGAATGCTAAATAATACCAAATGAGATACCAATTCATACCCATTAAGATAGTCGTAGCATAGACATCAACAATTTAAAACCAGTTAAGAACAAAACTTAGAGGGGATGTTGAGATGTGGAAAAAAAATTGTGCCAGTGTATGGGAAAGTCTGGAAGTTGCTCAAAATGTTAAGACATAAAGGGTAGCGTATGGCCTAGTCATCCTTCACTGCATATGCATCTCACAGAAATGAAAAAATGTTGATACTAATTTACATGTGAAAGCTAATAGCAGCATTATTTATACTAGTTCCCAGCTGGAATCAATCCAAACGTCCACGCTGACGAGAAATAAAATGGGGTGGAGCAGCCAGGAGTGGGGGGCCACACCTTTAAGCCCAGCTCAGGAGAGGCAGAGGCACACAGATCTATGTTGAGTTTAAGGCCGGTCTGGGCTACATATCTAGTTCCAGGCCAGCCAGGGTATATAAGCGACCCTGTTCCCCCGCCCAAAGCACAAATAGTGGCTGAGGTAGAGCAGGGAAGGGTGGCTCATGCCTCAGGGCTTGCACTGTGTGCGTTAAAGGCCAGTCTGGGTCACAATGTGAGACTCTGTTTCAAAAAGCCAAATCATTAATCAATCAGTTAATTAAATGAGGTTGTATTTATATAATGGAATGCTACTCCGCCATAAAAAAGAATAAAGTGCTGAATATAGGATTCAAAATAGAATAACCTTGAGACAATATGCTAAGTGAGAAAAGTCAGATACAAAAGGACTGACACCGTGATTCTGAGGAGATTAGTGATGGCCCAGGACAGGGGAGGGGTGCGGCTGGCAGTACAGTGGTTAGTGATGGCCCAGGACAAGGGAGGGGTGTGGCTGGCAGTACAGTGCTTAGAGGGAAGCCAGGATGTGATGAGGATCACACAACTCTGGCAATAAACTAAAAATACTAAGTTTCAAGTAGGTAAAATGCACTGCACAAGAACTACACCCTAACAAAGGTGTTCTAAAATGTGTTCAGACTGGCATGGGGAGAAGCGCACCTATCACAGACACCTTCCAGATGCTGAACTCTAGAACACTTAACAAAGGGCACTTCCAAGGTGTCAGCAACCTGGATGGCAGTGCACACGGAAGCACTGCTCTGTTCACATGGCAGCTCTGTGTGGCAACTTCAGAAAACATCCAACAGAGAGCATACAAGCCAACGTCTAGACGGCAGGGCTGGGGTCAGGTAGGTAGGGAAGAGGTCCCAGTCAGTATTGCTCTGGCATTTTGTAGACCACACCTGGGAGACCACACCTGGGTGATGGCCAGCAGCGCCTGAGGCTTGGAGGCACTGTGTTGGGAGAGGTGGCAGGAGGCTCACTCCCCTGAAATGAGATTCTACGTAGTTCTTGGAATTCAAGTTGGAAGATACCACAAAAATCTGCAGTGAACACAGTCTCCAACCTAGACATGTTTACATTTGCACATTATCTTAGTTATATCCACACCTATACATGAGTAGACAATGCTAAAAAATGAAATTAACTTCTACTAAAATGCATTGGCACACCCTGTATTTTATTACAATTAATGTATAGAACATACTCATTTCATTTTCATCTTCAGTTATACAGTGATCAAATGAAAACTATACCATGCCAAGTTTGGTACAAACATGTTTATATCTACAGACCCTTTATTTTATTTATTTATTTTTTTAAAAAGCAAAGTTCATTTTCCACAATGCTTTAGGTACTGCTTTCAGGTAATGAATACTTCTGAGAAACAGACCAGGGAGTAATGACTGTAAAATTCTCTGCAGTTTTGGGAATATTTTTCCATTATACTTCTATTTTGTGGTAATGTACAAGTATCTGCAATGTTGTTCAAGAAACAAAAATCACCAGAGGGTATTTTAGTAACTCTTGGAAGCTCTCATTAATAATGTGAAAATACTCCTAACAGCAGAAAAACCAGCAAGGGCAGGAACCCTTAAAAGGCGCTTACTGAGGGTCTTACTATTCTTTAAGCACTGAGCATGTATTAATTCTAAGAGCCTGTTCATTTTACAGATCACAAAATTCACACTCAAAATGCTTAAGCAAATTGTTTATTGCTAGCATATAGCAGATGTACTTTCATTTGGAAGAAATAACTTTTTCTTCAAAATGGAAACCAAACAAACACAGGCTTCATTGCAGCAGATATCTACATGTAATAATTTATTAATTTCGGTTTAGTTCATGATACAGGGTTGATTTGTAGACTGATATTCTAAAAAAGCAAATTGTTCCCCCAGTTCATTTGTTTGAAAAAAAAATCCCACAATTGGTAGTATTTTATGTTTCACTGTTATCCTATAGAAGTGAAATTCTTTTATTTATTTTCTATTTGTAAGTGGTGACAGATTAATTAGGAAAGCTATCTCCTTAGGAAGCTTAAATGCTAATTTACTAAAATAGATAATAAATCATCTGGTTAGCAAGTCCTTGAAGAGATTATTTTCATTTCTTCTGTGTTTCTTTGGGCACTACTTGTATGTATATCTGTACATTCCACTTATACAATGTGCATTGAACCCCGCAGGCTGTGTGCTTTTCCTCTTCCTATATTCCCAGTACCTGGTACAGGCCCCCACACAGTGGAACCTCCCTAGACTGACTCATTAAACAAAAGAAATTGATGGCATTAGCCAGCATTGAACACTAACTGTCCTTGTCATTGCATTAACTTCCATAGTGGTAAAAGCGACAAATATCCTTTGAGAATCATTGACTCAGGACACAGACACACATATACAGACAGACAGACAGACAGACAGACAGACAGACACACACACACACACACACACACTACACATACCACCCCCCACTCTTTACACACATACCACACTCACCTGCCCCCACACACATACCACACACACATAACCTCCCCACCCCTTACACAATCCACCATGATTTCTGTTACTCAGGAGACAAAGGTACAGGTCCTCATGTCCTTATGGAGTAAATTCAATGGCATGAGTTTTCTCAGGAGGAGAGATGAGCATGAATAAAATACAAATAAATATTTATATTTTAATATTTTAACATTACAATAAACCATGGATGAAAGAAGAATGGCTTTCCACATTAACAACACAATGTCCAACCTCAAAGGCAATCAAGTATTTCAAAAGTAGACCACTGGGTATGTAGCAAAAAAGTTTGGTAATCAAACTGCTGTGGCTGTCTGGGGGTGAGGTGGAGGCAGAGAACAGCTCCTGGTAGGAAAAAGCCTTGTCAGTTTTATGGTGATGGGTGGTGGTGGTGGTGG